AAATAGATGTGTTTCGATCTTTGTCGCATCACCTTGCAGGCAGCGAGACATTAAGGTGTGAATACGGTCGATGACAAATCCTGGTTCAGCGTTTATTGAATTATGTGGAACATCACAGAGGCAGCTGTTTTTTTCTGATCTTAAAACCATTACTCAAACCTTTGTCAGGAATAGCTGTTGTTACATGAGAGAGGGCAACACGCCATGAGGGGACATAGACGCTCACACAGTGTCAGTGATTTGATTAAAGTTGATTTTGTCTCAGTGTTATTATAAGTCTTCAAACTCAGAGCACCTTATCGGAAGTTCGGGCGTACATTTCAAATCTACCCATGCCGGCACCAATCAGAGCTTCTGTACAGGCAGACAGAGGTCACATCTGGGACCCCAAAATAGCTTCGCTGCGGCCTTTAACACAGCTTCACAACTGCATGATCTCCCGTTAAATGAAAAAGCATACGTCAAAATGTGGATGTTTCAGATTAATCTTTTAGAGTGGCTTTAGTTCACCCATTAGACATCCATCTTGTTTTCTCAATAGCTGGAGCATTCTGACAAGCACAGTTTGCAGAAACCAAACTTTCCTACTTGAGTCTTTTTTTTGTTTAGTTTTTTCCCAAACTAATACAATGACATGACAGAATAAGCACTATATGACTCAGATTCGGAGAACACGCCATTAATTTAGGAAATGTTTAGCTTCAAGTGCATCTGAGCTCTGGCTGATGGCGAGCAAAAGGATCAACAGTGCTCTTTCGTTTCATGGCAACTCTTCAAGACATTTCAAAATGACAAATGTCAGGGTGCTGTTGACATTTGAGAAATCACAAAGCCAATGTGGGACGCACCCAGAGGGCCACAAAACCTCACAAAAATCCATCCGATCGTGTGATTTCTGATTTGAATTCAAAGTAAACTGGCTTGCAGTTACCACATTACAATCCAGATGTTGTGACCAATATAAAGACATGAATCTCCTGAGAGACTTTAAGGCAGGAAGGAACATAAAAGGCTTTTCCATTAACCACGATGGACGAGCGGGTTCAGAATGAAAGACTTCCACAAGATAGCTCCCTACATAAATTCCTTCTCAGGCATGCTTTAACCCCAAATACATACCATACTGTCTTTGATAGTGGAGAATGATAGCCAGCTCATGTTTTTCCCATGCTCCCCCATGCTGTCAACTTCTTGTTTGTTTACGGAGCGTCATGTTTCAATACTCCCACAGAAGAAATTCTTTTGACTATCATTTTATGTATATGATTTAATTACTTTGTGAAACCTTCAGAATTATGCAGGCACGGTTAAATCAGCCATACACTGCCAATATAGCAGAGAACCTCTGTCATTGCACTGGTATGTTTTTGTTTATTGTTTACTTTTACTGAGCTAATTTCACTCAGATTCCAGAGCATTAGCCAGTGAACCCAGTAGTGACTCAGCGGTCATTCAGAGCCTGAGAAAAAACAGAGAAAGGTACATTCCACCCTACATCCTGAGCTCAAGACCGATAAAGAGACTTGTGGGGAATTCTACAGTTTTGTTTCACATTTTTTTATTAATCTATGTCAATGAAAGGCATCCGGTTTTGACCACTTTCTTCTCGATGTGATCTTACTTATGTGTTGAGAAGGGTAAAAAACAGCTGAGTATGGAAAGGTTTTGCCAGGAGGAGTGAGGCAGAATCAGTTGTAACTGTTATGGATGGAAGAGGCAGCATGGATCCACCAGTAGAAACAGCTGTTGTGTGAATTTTAAATGTGAGAGTCATCTTAATTGATCAAAAGAAGAGGGAGATACGACAACAAAAGGAAATGTCTGTTATTTCTAACGCTTTTTAGTTTGGTGACAGAAAGAGGTGACTAGTGTTTCCCTGTACAAAACTAGAATAGAACTGATACCTGACAAGTGTTTGATGCTTTATTATTTGTTTCCAGCTTCTTTGAGCCATTGATTTCTGTCTCTGGTCCCCGCTCACCCCACACACTCGAGACAGATGGCCCCTGTCTCTTTGAGCTTGTTCCAAGAGTTGTACTGTTAATTCTGTGCAACCGATCCTTCTTGACCATAATGTGTTAAGTAGCCACAGATGACTTCTAGTAAACTATGTGCTCAGATATTTGACTCACAGCCATAGTTGTTCTTGGGACACAAGAGGGAAGCAATCTATTTAGGAGATTTCCATCTCTGTTCATCCCTCGTGGGTTCTCTTTTCAGGGTGTATTACTGCTTTGCTAAATCAAAGATTTGACATTTCTGTGATCAGAAAATTGACAAAAAAATCTTTCACAAAATCTCATCAAAATCCCTTTAGTAACAGTTAACTGCTGTGTCAGGGTAAAGGCAGTATTCACTGTTTCAGGTAGTTGAAGTCAACCTAAATGTCTTATTCTTGTTGCTTTTGGATATCCAGTCTGCAAAAATTCAAGGTTGTTTGAGCAGTTCAGTCAAAATTTCTGCTTCAAAGGTGACCGTTGAGGCTTTGTCCATAAAGTGCTAAATTACCATCAGTCACATGAAGATCAAGGTACTAAATTAATCTCATATTGTAATGGAGCACCCTGAATTCTACTTGTGGTTACTCCATTAACTGAGTTTATTGATTTGCTGTCTCTATGTTTACTTCAATCTGTATGATATTAACAAATGCAACATATTCTGGCTTTCAGTGCCGTACAGTTGAAGTGCATCTTTCTCAAAAATCTGTATTCAACAGTTTTCAATCTATTTAGCCTGAGCAAGGTCCAATGAAACCTTCCCATCCTGAATAGATTATGCAAGTCTCATCATAAAATGGACGAAGCCTTGCTCCTCCTGACACTTAAAGTGGTCTTTTTTGTATAAACCTGGTGGAGGTCCCATTCAAATTCAGCTGCTCCAAATGACCTTAACTGTATTTGTGTATTTGGGGGAGGGGTGTATGTGGGTACACCTGCTTCCATTAGAAACAACAAAGAGGGCCTGTTCTGGGGGTGGTTGGACAGAAGGGAGGGTTCAATCTAATTACAGACTCTGGGGAGATGACTTCATTGAGGTGACTCCCTACCCTTGGGTGCGTGTTTCCGCATCTCACACCATCATATTACAGAGAGAAGCTGTGGGCGGGCCTAGCCTGACTCTTTAACTATACCGTACTATACCGTGATGGCCCAGTACTAATTACAAACTGGACCAGAGTTCAAGGCAGATACAGGCACATGTAGTCTATGTAATTTGATCTCATCTGTAAGTGTCTCTGACTGCAGTTATGAAGGTTTGTAATATTCTGCTGTAGTTCCTCCATAATTGATGCTGCTCTCAGTGCATTACTAGCGGGGATTTTTTTTATTATTTATTGTCATTGTGGTTTGAATGCCCATTTTCCACAGATTGAAGGAGTTCAAAGATTAGATGCTCGTACTCTTCATGCACCATCAGGCTCCATAACCAAATTACAAGCCACTGTGTGCTGCCTTTCCTGTTGTTACCGGGTCAATTTAGAGCGTCTGACCGTGCCCTAATGAGCCGGAGAGCTAGGGCATTTGTCTTATCTGCTCTTGAGATCACTTGTCATTAGCAATTGTGAGTACCCCCCTTTCAATTCTCTTGTGATTGAGACTAATGAACAAAGAGAGAGGAAATGGGTTTAGAGTTTAAGGTTATCAATGCAAAGTGGATGTAACAGAGAAAAGACGCATCCTTGAGAGTGCGTCTGCGTGTGGCTGTAGGAGGCCAGCAGGCAGACGCAGACAGCACTAAGACAAATGACCATGGTTAATTACGTTGTGCGTTCATGTCAGCCAAAGATAAACTGTCGCTCCCATGGCACTTTACAGCATCAGCAATTTTGATGACCCTTCAGATCTCTGTCACCACAATGGCACCCACACCAACTGCAGATGTCCCCTGGAAGCCGTTTGAATCTTTTTTTTTAGATTATCGACACACTAGCAAGCGATAGGCTGCTTTAATATGACTGACTAAAAGAAGAAAGAACACAACAACAGAATTCTGAAACTGATGAAATGTAGGTTAAAGCGGCAAGTAAAGCTATTTTCTTGGAAGGTATTAAAGCGCCATCTAGTGTCTTTAGAAGAGCACAGAGTGAGGACTGATCATTTTTCATTTCTAAGATTCCTCCCAGTAAATTGAATAATTAGGTTAGGACAAACATCACAGACCTATTCTTTGAATTTGTCACAGCATTTTTTGGGGACATAACAATCAAGTTTTTATTCACAATAAAAAGACTCATCTTTTGTCCAAAACCCTGGCTTTGGCTGACATGTAATAACTCCATGAAGAGTTGCTCAGACAGACACAGAGCGAGGACCTAAAGCTATGATAAAGCTGGCCTTCGTGAACTAGCTGCTTTGTTTTCTTACTATGCTAAACACAATGGGAATTGTTCTCAACCAACATAATGCATGGCAGGACAGCATTTTGTGAGAGCATTAGATCATATGGGAGCTATAGCGGCTGCCTTGCCCTCCAATCTGTACAGTGTGCTCGTTTTTACGTACTTGTTTGTTTCTGATTGCTCTATAAAACGGCCAGTGTAGACACTGGGATTTTGATAGAGTTGTAAGATATTTTAATTGGATTATTTTATATTCTCCAAACAAAATGTCCTATTTTTTCCCTCCAATAACTTTAATACATTTATCAAACAAGGATATAAAGAGTGTTTAAGTGTTCTTTTTCAAATATTTATTTCCTGTATTTTTCAGTAGAATTATAGTCTCCTGATTGAAAATAAAAACTAATAGTTTTGACTGTCCAGGGCTGATGGAAGGGGCTGTACAGGCCAGGAGGACAGGGTGGCCTAACCCAACGGGCTTTAGGACCACGCGGATGACCGGTGGAATCACATGATGGCGGCGGGCTGCCAGAAGCTGCTCCTCCGGGGGAAGACAAGCAGCGGCCACGGAGGGGGAACACCAGGGCTGCGATCATGGACTGATACAAGTTAATGATGCATGTGGTTTAGGTTGAGCTGTGACAGAAAGGCGGCGAACATGGCTGCCGCCGTGTTGTTCCTCCTTGCAGTGACCATTGCCTGGCCAGCCCTGCCCGTGTGCGGACATTCGGTAAGAGTTTTCAAAAGTTATGTCCTGTAAACAATTCTGTCAGCTGACTATTCAGTAGTCCTCCCTTGGCTATTCATAGCTTTTCTACCAGCTGAGAAAGAGACCGTTTGCCTGATAAAGATTCACCTATGGACAGATGTGTCTGTCTTAACATCTGTCCTTGATGATGATACCAAATATTTGATGTGATGGAAATTACAAACATCAACTGGGAATGAGAAGTATCTTAGTCCCCATGGAGTTTTTCCTGGTTATGATTTCCTTGCAGGTTTCTACACAAAGATCTTTCTCCATCGACTACAAAAATAACTGTTTCCTGAAAGATGGGAAGCCTTTTCAGTATATCTCAGGTAGCATCCATTATTCCAGGATTCCACGCTACTACTGGAAGGACCGGCTTGTCAAAATGTACATGACTGGACTCAATGCTGTCCAAGTGTAAGTTGAACATGAATTTTTTTTTTTTTACCCTGTCACTGGGTCTGTTTGCTGGCCTTTCCCCACGCTGACACACTTCTCCGGCTCTGCACAGGTATGTGCCTTGGAACTTCCACGAAGCAGTTCAAGGAGTGCAAAACTTCACAGGCGACAGAGATTTGGAGCATTTCTTGGATTTGGCAAACCAGACAGGCCTCCTGGTCATCCTGCGTCCAGGACCGTACATCTGTGCAGAATGGGAAATGGTGACAGACTTACCTCAACTTGTATTTCTCTGCGTGAGATTTATCAGTTAAGATTGCTCAAGAAATCACAGCCTGAAGGGGAAGAGCTGCTGAGCACCAAACATTCTGTAGAAATGTTAGCACAGCAAACTAAGTGGCAGCTGAAGGAGACATTTGGTCACTTTTTATTTCTTTGTTTTATTCATTGTAATTTTTGATGATTCCCTGTTATATATGTATATATATTTCGGATCAAACCTAATAGATAAATGTAAAACTTTGTAAAGAGTGGTTGAGAGGTAGTTTCCCTGTGTTTCTTCAGCTGGCTTTGGCTCTTTTTTTGTGCATATACCTCTTCTGTAGCTGTTCTCTGTTTCATCTTGCAGGGTGGATTGCCAGCATGGTTACTTCAAAAACCAAACATCGTGCTCCGCTCAGCAGACACAGGTAACACAGTCCCCTCCGTGACATAGTCTTTCTTTTCATGCGAACACCTTTCATTTGTTTTCCAGATTACATACAGGCAGTCAGCAACTGGCTCGCCGTGCTCCTCCCTAAAATGAAGCCTTGGCTTTATGTCAATGGGGGTAACATCATTTCTGTGCAGGTAGGGTAGGGATGGATACCTTTAATATTTCAGCAAACTATCACTGGCTTTAATAAATCCTCTGAACTACAGGTTGAAAATGAGTACGGGAGTTACTACGCCTGTGATTATAACTACATGCGTCACCTGCGGACGCTGTTCCGCTTCTTCCTGGGTGAGGATGTCGTCCTGTTCACCACCGATGGAAACACAGAGAAGGAAATGGCATGCGGGAGTCTGCAGGGATTATATGCCACTATAGATTTTGGCACAGGTTGGTTAGAGGGAGTGGATTTTAAGGAGACATCTTTTGTTTGTTAGTAGAGTGAAGCTGTACTTATTTTTATTTTTCCCTTCTTTAGACACCAACATAACAGAAGCCTTCAACCGACAGAGACGGTTTGAACCTGGAGGACCCCTGGTTGGTTTTGAAACTACTCCTCATCTTAAGAAGCAGTGATGGTGAATATGTAACTTTAGCATCTTTGGCTGTGTGTCACAGGTAAACTCGGAGTTCTACACAGGCTGGTTGGACCACTGGGGAGACCCGCATGCTGTGGTTGACACTCAGAAGGTCAGCAGAGTGCTAGAAGAAATGCTAACCATGGGGGCCAACGTCAACATGTATGTCTCTCCAAACCCTCAGTCGTTCCATGTCTTTCTCCCTTCTGGTAAACGTTGGATAGCCTGTCGTCCAGTTTTAAATCCGATGCGCGTGAAGCAGTTATGTTCGAGGAATTCTACCTCCATTTTTTTTTCCAGTTCACAAAAATGCAGTTTGTAAAACAATTGATAAAAAAACACTCTAGCAATTACCATTGTATTTCAGCAGGGGTTCCTCCACAATCAGTACAGGACTGACTGTGTCGATGGCGACTGGTCATAAACATAATTTATTTGTAAGGGTCTTGCCAACACAGGATATAATTGACAGTGGTCTCAGGACACTGTTGGTTCAGATCTTTCTACGAAAAATATCTATTAACAGCCACATCTCTTACCAACATAAATTAAATGTGCGCCCTATAGAAAATTCTCTGAAATCACCCCCCTTTCTTATCAGGTACATGTTTGAAGGAGGAACCAATTTCGGCTACTGGAATGGTAAAGTAATTTCATTTCATTGTTAGTATTTTAGTGTTAGATTGTTTCCCTTTGAGGCATGACCTAGATTAAAGCCCAGCAGTACTTTGCACTCCGGTTATTCTCTCCCGCTCTCATAAAGGCGCCGACCATGACTCCAGGTTTCGCTCAGTGGTCACAAGTTATGATTACGATGCCCCGCTGACTGAGGCAGGAGACCCCACTGAGAAGCTGTTGGCCATCAGAGATGTCATAACACAGGTACAAATGATTTAACAACCACCCACTGAGGTCCATGTCCTGATTAACATAGAATGAATTACCCTTCCACTCTAGTTCAGAGAGGTTCCCTCTGGCCCCATGCCACCTGCTACTCCAAAGTTTGCCTATGGCTTTGTCACCCTGAAAAAGGTAACACAACTTTGGAAGTTTTTCCTAGAAGCATGTTTTAAAAAATGCTTGAAAGCGCATAGATGGAATGAATAATGATGGAATTTCACAGGTTGGGAACATAAGCAGTTTGTTGGACATCATCTCTCCTCTGGGACCGGTCAAATCAGACTATCCCCTGACATTTGAAGAGATGAAACAGGTATGATGTGTGTGTCCAACAACAGGGAAGATAACAGAATTCTGGTGACAGTAAACCCCTTGAAACGTGGAGAACTTCTAGACTGTTGTGTCTGCAACCTGTCATGTCTATTGTGTGCAGTACTATGGCTTCATGCTGTATCGGACCACGCTGCCCCAGGACCTCTCAGAGCCCACGCCACTTATCTCTCCACTGAATGGGGTTCATGACCGTGCATATGTGTCCGTCAATGGGGTAAAGGCTTACTGTGACCTTTTGTTGTCAAGCCAATCAGATTTCGGGGGCAAAGAAAAACATTCCACGTAAAAGTCAAGCATGTCCATTTGTCCGGTACTTGTTATTACATGTGAGTGTTTTTTGTAATGATCATTGCCTAAAGCTGATGCGTGTGCATTTGTGTAAACAGGTTTTTCAGGGTTTACTGGAAAGAGACACTGTGCTGGTGATTAATGTTTCAGGAAAGCAGGAGGACACATTGGACATCCTTATTGAAAACATGGGAAGAGTTAACTTTGGCAGCAAAATCAATGACTACAAGGTAAACCAACACTAAAAAAACTCTAAGAACAACAAGTAAACAAAACAATTAATCATCTGAGGTGCCATGGAAACTTTAATTTAGGATCAATTTGAGAAAAAAACACAACCAACTATCAACATATGCTTTCCAGGGCCTCCTGAACAACTTGATCTTGGGTAAAGATGTATTGAGAAACTGGGAGATCTTCCCTTTGGACATTGACGGAGCTATTGCTAGAGGATGGCCGCATTCAGACCATCAACAAACCATCCTGCCTCCTTGGAGAGAACCTTCAGCTGGGCCGGTTTTCTATATGGGGACCCTAAAACCAAATGGCCTGACATGCGATACATTTCTCAAGCTCAGTGAATGGATAAAGGTAATGCTGACCTACCTGGGTTTAAAATGCTTGAAAGGAGAACTCAAACACTGTAAATAACTCCTCACGCATGTCTCTCTTTGAACCGATCAGGGTCAGGTTTGGATTAACGGTGTTAATTTAGGACGATACTGGCCGGCCCGGGGCCCGCAGCAGACCCTGTACATACCTGGACCTCTGCTCAGTGGCAGCCGGCCCAACAACATCACAGTGCTGGAGCTGGAAGCAGCGCCGGCTCACCTGCGCGTCCTCTTCATGGACCGGCCCCACCTCAACTCCACAGCTGGGAAGTCTTGACAGAGTTCACCAGATACTGTTGGAAGCGCCTGCTTCACTATTTCACCGAGCTGACGGCAGGAACCCGCTCAAAGCTTTGCTCCACTTCATTTCCACGATGCTGTCATTCTTAATTACTTCAGATGTCAGTGTTACTTCATATGTTGTCAGTTTTCTGATGTTTATTGCTTTAACCTTCAACAAAGCAGTTAAAAAATGATGATTCTTAGCATATGATTTTATTATTCAATAAGCCTGTGGAAAAAAATCATGTAAGCTTTATCATATTTTAGGTGAGTTTCGTTTTGACTTTGCTTAAACTGAAAATATTATTAATTTTTTTAAATTAATTTCATTACATTTTTTGATAAGTTTGTTTATCCGTTCGTTTTATTTGCCACATAAACTTTTTATTTGAAATGTGCTTTTATAATTGACAATCAAACACAGGTCATAGTCATGAAAAGCCACATTTTTCAGTTTTAATGAGGTAGCTTCCCACCAGGTCCAAGTTTTCCATGCAGTTGCTAGTTCTTGCCTGGAGGAACATTTGCCTTTCGATGTGCCTGAACGCAGCGTGGGGTGCAGAATGAGTACTCCAAGTAATGAAACGGCATCTTCCCAAGCAGAGACTCTCCACATGACCAGCACCTCCTGTAGATTGAGACAAATCCGTACACACACGGCAAAAAAAAAAGACAATGACAACATATCCGAGAGCATCCTGGAAACAGGCCGTGAGGTGGGGGGGCTTACTTGATATTAGACAGGCCGACTCCGGTTGCAGCTACTTGCTCTGCCAGCCTCTTCTCTGCTGCCAGAGCTCTCTATAATTGAAAAGCAAAGAACGAACATATTCAATGGTTTCTTTCACAAAAACATCCCAAATGGCAATCTTACTCACTTTCTCACGGTCTGTCAGAGACACAAACTTCTTCTTCTCTTCCATTTCCGACTCCTGTTTCATCTTCTCCTCTTTCTGCTCTTTTTCCCGCTGCTTCCTCTGAGCCCTTTGAGCCTTTTTCTTCTCCATCTTTTTGGATTCGATCTCCGCCGTCAGTGGCCCCGGCACCTTGAGTTAAACAGGTGTAAACCATGACACGTGAACTGGCAGGTAAAACAACCCACAGCCAGAAAAACAAGCAATCCTTACCTGTGCCTTGCTGTAGTCATATTTCTCAGGATTCTCAGCCATGTATTTTCTAAAGACGTTTCTTGTGTCTTTGTCTGGGGCGACAATGTATGGGGTCTGGCCTTTGCAATCCCTGTGAGGGGACATTTGGAAACATTCTGTTCAAGCTGCAAAGTCACAAAGCTCCCTGGTGAAACATGAAAACTATGGAAATTCCTTAAACCTGCAGGCTGGATCTGCTCCTGCATCAAGCAGCTCTCTGACCACCTCTTTTTGCGCAGCTGCTGCAGCAACGTGCAGCAAGGTGAAGCCCGATGAGTCTATGGGTTTATTCAGAAGATTCGCAGGGCTCGGGAGCAGGGCAGGGTTCCCCTCAGGCTGTTGAGGGCTATCCGCCGTCTCCTCAGGGAGCTGGAGGAGGCTGCACAGGGCGTCTACATCTCCAACCTTGCAGGCTGTATAGAGAGCGTCCCTTACGCCATAATCCCACCACTCATCTGTAAAGACAAGTTTTTTTCATCTTTTTAAATCATGAAATGAAATACTTTGTCATTTTGATGTGTAAATAAACTAACAGAAGTATACACATCCACACTCACCATCCACCTGTTTTTGACTCTGTGCTTTCGTCCTCTTTTGCTTCACAGACTGCATGAGCTGTGGGGTATCTGTTTCTTCAGCTGTCGCAGCCCCTGGCAGCCCTCCTTCTTGATAATCTGTTTCTATGTGACTTATTTCTGTTGCAGATGGAAATGGGAATGTTAATTTCACAAAGCTTTCGTGATAAATGTGAACTTCTGTTATTTGTATATCAACTATAGAGGTGTACTATGAGGGGGAGGTCAGTGACTAAGCCTAAAATGGCTCTCTTTTAACCACTCTTAACTTTGTCTTAATTGCATGATGATGCACGGATTCAAACCAACCATCGTTTTGCTTTTTGGCTGTCTTCTTCTTTTTCTTCCTTCTCCTGTTTCTGGAGGGATAAATCTCAGATTCCCTGAGGTCCAGTGTTGTTAAAGTTAACTCCACCATCTCCAGCTGGATATCCCCCTTTTCTTCTTCTTCTTCTTCTTCTTCATCTGAGCTATCGTTGCTCTCTTCTCTAGGCGCTAGAAAGAACGTAGTATCAAAGTTGGACAAGCTTAATATATAAACCATGTATTTTACACTATTTTAACACTGAGGTATTGATTTGTTGAAGCCTACTTTTCTCTTGAGCTGTAACTTTCTGCACTGCTGGTTTGACAGATTTTTTCCAAGCCTTCTTAGATGGACTGACGACTGCCGACATGTCAGCGTCTTTCCCTGTGGTGGGACAGTATCTCATTATTTAAGGGCTATGCTGGGGCTGCACAGAGATGACCAGAAAGCAGGCTTACCAAACACCTGAACAGTAGAGAGCATGTCGTGTACCCTCTGCAACTCTCGAAACGTTGCTCTGCGTGTGGGGAAAGGCAGTGTGCGGATCCGGGGGTCTTTTTTGTCAAGAGGAGCAGCGCGGCCCCCGAAAAAGATGCTCCTGTTGTAGCTAGGGGCTCTCACAAATACGGCAGAGGCCTTGTTCAATTGTTCTGCCCAAGTCACAAGAAGATCCTGAACGTCCTGGAAAGAGTCAGCAAGATGTGCAGTTACAGAACAGCAACAATCATTTGCTGGTTAGTGTAAAGAATGTTAGGAAACGCATTCATTATTCAGTGACTTCATCCATTTACGACTATATTGTAACATAATATCTTAAAAGAAAAAGTATGTATAAGCACGGGAATGAGTGAATAAGACCTAAGTAAACCATCTCAGAATCTGATAGACTGTTTATTGTTGCCAATATCCACGAATGAGCAGTCTATGAAAATTATCGTCAGAATCGATGTCTTTGGATTATTATGAGATAAATCACAAGAGCACCTTTCTGAATAGTCCACTTTGCTTTGTCACTTTAAAGGCTAAATAAAGCAGCTGTTAAAGGGCCTGTAATCTTGCCTTGACGAGAGCTGCCTCGTTGTATCTCCTCAGAGCCGCTCCGGCAGACTTCGGCGTGTGACTCCGGTTCTGAGAATCTCTAAGTCCTTGAGCTGTGCCCCGCTTCGCTCGTACTGTGTATCGGTGGAAAGTCTTGTGCTGAAGGACGTCTTTCCTAAAACACAAACGCACTCTTTGCCGACCGGTTGCGTTTTCAATTCCAGCTATAAAAATGTGATCTGCAGACAGAAGCTGAAGAAATAAAAGCCTTCTTACCCCTCAAACACTGCACCAGCGAAGTGGCCTCCGCCCGTCATGAGGATGACCCACACCGTCTTCTTACTTATGGCCTTCAGAGAGGTCACTGCTTCAGGCTGGTCATCTGACTCAAGAGTCTAAAAAAAATTGGAATGACAAAAACAATAGTTTTTTTTTTACCTGTCATGCATATTGCAACCTGACCTCCGTTGTACATGCTGTGTCCCACCTTTCCTTGCAGCACGCATCGGTAGACAGATAAATATTCTCCCGCAGCGTTTTGGAGAACCACCTTACTGGAGAGTCGACCAGCAATTGAGTGGGTTTCAACCGAACTCTCGTTATCCGTGCCAGTAACGTTACTGCCCGTCCCCCCGTCATCACTATCCAAGTCCTCGTCCTCTGAATCGGAATCTGAGCCCGAGATACTTGACAGGTCTCCTGTAAGGTGACAACAGACACTATGACAATGCTCCGTCACCTCCCATCAGACTCAGAGGGAGGTGTCTGGGTCAGTCTGGGACTGGGTTTTCTCACCAGCTCCTGTCTTTCTTTCAAACTCTTCGGCCTGGAGGGGAGGCAACCCCTTCATCTTCCGTCTCAAATTGAATCGATGCCAGTCCAGCTTGTAGTGCTCTCTCTGCAAAATGTGAAACATATTTGTACAAAAGGTGTTCAATGCAAGAACAGATAATAGCATATAAAGAGATGCTTATTGCTGGGTAGTCACCTGCTCCTCTCGGTTAATAAAGGAGCACCTGCAGGCTGAGCACAGCATCTTGTCTGACACGTCGATAAGTGTTCTGCCCTCTTCGCAGACATCATTCTGTGGATTTTTGTTTTCTTGAGCTGCATGTAAAACATGAGGGACTAGATTATAAAATGTACAGTATATATATTTTTTTTTTCCTCAAGATTATTAACAGGACACTACCACAAAACTTCATACATACATTCATCAACTGGGTCAGCGTTTACGGCCTCCTTCAGGACCGGATTCACCTCTCTCAAGTCAAAAACCTCTTCATCTGAGCCCAAATCAAAGATGGAGCGGCAGTGGACACAGGCTGTCATTGTTTTATTATTGTTCAGCCTGTCCTTATTGAAACACAGAAACATATGTTAAACTGTGGAGTCATTTAAATATGATATACAGGCATAAATAAAACAATTACCAACTCCTAATTACTGTGAGAAACACATTCACTGTTCATCAAGTACGAAATACTAAAACAGCTGTTAGGATCATCAAACAACGTTCAAAACTATGTTTGTTTAAGCTTACGTTTGTTTGATGATGTAAACCGAACTGCACTTTGAACGACACGTGTATTGCAAAAGACAGAAACGATTTCTTTATGAGAAATAACAGCTTTTTCTGTCCATTTAACTAGCCTTTAAGAAGACAATTACCACTAAAATTCAAGATTTAAATACTAAATTTAAAAAAAACATACACACGTACCATAAAAGGACTCGGGATAAGGCAGCTAAAAATGCTGCTCTTCCTGTTACAGCCTACGGAAGCCCAAGAGTTCCAATATTATCAAAGGCAAACTGGGAAAAGGACGTAAAAGTAACACAGTAGCTTTTCAAAATTACCGTGTACCTAACAAAGAGCATTATTTAAATACTTTAAAGAATACCAGTGGGACTGATTCAACCATTTGTACAACAGTCACTGGAGTTAATGCAATTATAATATATAGTACACAATCGTGTTTTTTGCATCATTTGTAGCACACAAATATATAAGATCGTCCACCATGATTTAATGTGAGAACGATCTCTGGTACAGTTGTGTGATTTTTTTGTTCTTCATCATAAGAAAAATACTACTAGCACACAACCAAATAAAATATTGTATTAGTTGCACTAAAATATAAATACAAATCAATTTAACCCTATTTCATTTTTTTAATCAAATTAATACATTTATAATGTTGTCTTTTTATATTTGCACATCCTTGCCTTAGCCTTTTCTTTGAGTTGTATGTAGCCTTAAAATTCTGTCAGTGTTTCTGAATAAAGCATTCAGTTAACAGCCTTGATTGTTCTTGCAATGCCTCATTTGCTCTGTTCATTTCATATCAAACAGATAATTGCTTAAAATATGCTCAAAGTTTTAACTGATTTTAGGTGCTTATCCCTTGAGTTACTTTAATAATTGAGCTGACTTTAAAACATGTCAGTGGTTTCCAAATCGTCTCAGGAATCTGGGTAAGTGCAGTTCAGGAGTGTGGGAATGAGCCTTTGGCAATGATATAAATATTTAAATAGTCCTTATTGAAATACTCCTAAATTACTTCACCTGTGATACTGATATGTAAGCAGAAGAGAGTGATTATCTGATGGCGCCACGCTGACAGCTAAACTGTTTTATTTATTTTATTTTATGGGAAAGACCGTGTTCAGCTCAAAGCCGAAAATATGTTGACGAGCACATTATTGCTACCTTTGAATGATATCCTCAGCACACAGCCTTTTCTCCTGGACCCTTTCCAGTTTAACACACTGCTGTCTTTTTCTGCAAGAGAGCTCCGCCACCATACCACAGTTTAGCCAGTCTTCTGATCAATGTTAGCTGTTTGTGTGCAATAACTTTATATCATGACTGGTTCTCAATATGGTATTACATTGATTTAAGATAACAGGAACCTGTTAGCGTCACATGCCGTAGAAATATTGTCTTATATTAGTGGTATGTCCACATAGCCGTGCGTATCACGGGATCAGTGTCGTATCTCTTACTTCCACTGTCTGCAGCAGAGCCCGGATAGCTCAGTCGGTAGAGCATCAGACTTTTAATCTGAGGGTCCAGGGTTCAAGTCCCTGTTCGGGCGTCAAATTTTTTTAAATTATTTTTCTTAACACTTACTGAATTTCATCAGATTGCACAATTCAGCAACGGGGTTATTCAAAATGCTTGTGTTTCGTTATTAGGCTTTGCTACGTTTTTTTCTTTATTTATAGTTAACTTTATATGATTACTAGTTCACATTCTCTGTCCAACAATTGTAACCATATGAAGATTATTCAAGTGATCTACAATCTCTATGCCTCATCTATTACTGGCAATAGCCTGGGAGACTCTCCTGTGTTTGTTTTATATTAGGGTGATTTTATATTAGGGTGATCAAAATAATTTTATAAAAGTTCCTCAAAGCCAAGATCATGAGATACACAACTGAATTTAAAAAAAAAAGGGAATTTCTTCAATTATTCTTAAATGTGGTTACTTATTTTCATTGGACTCAGTAAAAAGGGTAAATATTGATCGAGTCAGACTCCTCTAAAATGTTATGTTTTAACTCTCGAGAAGCAAAGGCTGCTCAAACAATGCTAAATGACAGGTTTGTGAACATTAATCAAATGTTAGATGTTATTGTCCATACTGTCATGCGTCTATAGTGCAGCACAAGGATAAAGTCTCCGAACATTTAGCACTCAAGCATAAGAATATGTTACCATACGCACAATATATTATGCAAGCTATGGGTAAGCCGAGTTTCAGTAGGAAGAAAACAATACTCCTGGTAATTGGACAGGTGATCCAAATCCTACAATTGTACCAGTCTTGTGCCAAACATTAAACCATTCAATTTACTGCCAGTCACTGAAATGAAGTGGTTATTTTGCACAGTGGGACCTCACATTATGCTGCTGTTGGAGATGTTGTTTTTGGAGGAAAAAAATCTAACTAATTAGAGGATTAGCCTCACTCACAAACAAATAGCAACATCCCTGTAATTTACCTGAGTTAATCATGGGTATTATGTGAGGACAGTGGCTGGGAACACCTATAAAGCTGGGTGTTAGCGTGGGTCAAATAGCAACACTGAACACGAATCTGGCTGGCAAAGATGGAGCAGATTATCCTCCTGTGTGTGCTTTCCACTTGTCTCTCTGCTGTGCAGGCTCAGGTAAGTACACACGGACACGGGATGGGATGAGACTGATTTTGACTAGATCTTCCTGCAAATATGTCTTTTTTATTTCAGAAATTTTTGCTGACCCCCAAATGGATTCCCAGTGGCTTTAAAGGTAAGTGCTCTTTAGTTGAATCTGTCAATGTTTGACTGGAGTAACGGCCAACAGACTTGCTCTTTTTTTTTATAGAACTTGAAGGACACAACGAAGGAGCCGCAATGGATAAAATCATCAAAGTTAATGAGCTTCGTGGTAAGTTAGACACGGTTTAGCAGAGTTCCTTTGAAGTTCTCACATCATTGTTTAAAGAATAACTTTCTTCCGGTTCTGATTTATTTTGCTTTTGCATCTGTGTTAGGTTCCCAAATCATAGACGGAACTACCACTCTCAGAGAGGGGGACATTGCTGTTTCCTCTGGAAGGCGCTCTAAAGTCTGCTTTGCTCGGAGCTGCCTCTGGTCTAAATCAGTGGACGGACATGTCTATATTGCATACACACTTTCATCTCAATACTGTACGTAGTCTCAGTATTTGTCAGCCAATCATATATGTCAGCCAATCCAGTCTAGCACTTTTATAGATTTACCAACTTCATATTGAATCATTTCTAAATTGCCTGTCCCCTCTCTGACCTTTCTCAACAAATAAACAGCTGATATTGACACAAAGCTGATAAAGAATGGAATGGACAACATAGAGGACGGAACCTGTGTGCGATTTGTTCCTCGAACTCACCAGAGAGACTTCATCGACATCCAACCAAAGTCCGGGTAAGAGCTGTTTAAAGTCTATTGTAACAACATGCTAAATGTTTTTTCTGAGTCAAAAGAAAAATGCACAATGCAGAATCATGTGTTGACTTTTTCTCCGCTGTGGAACTGTGTCTGTGTGTGTGTGTGTGTGTGTGTGTGTGTGAAACTAGATGCTGGTCCTACCTTGGTTCTCGTGGTGGAAAACAAACTCTATCTCTCCAGAACCCGGACTGCATGCAGGAAGGAGTGATTACCCATGAATTCATGCATGCCCTGGGCTTTGTGCACGAGCAGTCCCGCTTTGACCGGGACAACTACATCACCGTCATGTGGCCAAACATTTGGAGAGGTATTTTCCGAGAGCTTTGTGGGATGAAATGTCCACAACACTAAAATGAATAAATAAAAGTAATAAATGAAAATAAATGCATATACTATAAACACAAAGATTGAAAAAAATATTCCTACTGTGTTCAAATTCAAAAAGCAAATAAACTAACTGAAACTTAACACTGAATAAATATAAGAGTTTTATATTTGAATCTGCAAACAGATCGCCTGAGGAACTTTGAGAAGTTCAGGACCGACAATTTGGACCTACCGTATGATTATAGCTCAATCATGCACTTTGGGATGTAAGAACTACTCATGGATCAGTTTCTGATTTTGAAATTCTTTATTGTATTCAAATTAAATGATCTTGTGGTATATAGGTATGCCTACTCTATGGCTGGGGAGCCAACACTCATCCCGAAAAACAGCAGGAAGATAAAGCTCGGACAGGCATCAAGTCTCAGTCACATCGACAAACTGAAAATCAACAGACTTTATCAGTGTGGTTGGTACCAAACGTCCTCAACCCACTTCCAGAAGTTATTTTACATGTTGAATGTTTGACTCATTTCTGTGTATCTCTGCAGATGTCAGGGATGATTAGGAGCCAAACTGATCTGAGGTGAAGCAGGAGTCCTCTGAAAGCCAACATAACAAACAGCAGTTAAATCATGTCGACACTTTCAATAAAGATTAATGCAAGCTTTCTATCAGCACTTCCTCTGTGTGCGTTCAGTTATTTTTATTCAAACCTGTAGAATAGCTCCAGTGAAGTGAGTTAATATTAGATCATCTGCTTTGAAGTGGCCATCTACAAGTTAGACCCACTATATTGATAATGAATAATAAAACTATATATATATTAAAAAAGATATATATATATAGTTTAGCAAGGTATCGGAAGATCACACAAGATGAGGAAAACACAAACCAAACTTGTTGCATTATGAGCAGACATGTATGCTTTCATATTTCAAACATTGCCCTTAAAATCTTTCAGTCTATAGTGTTTTACATTATTAAACTATCTGTATTAACATTAGAAAGTAAATCTCATCACCTGCTCCCACACTGGCTTTTTCTGCTGGTGCTTTCCCAAAATGAAACGATCCCCATGATAAAAATGGGAATAATATTTGGAGAAGGATAAGGTCTGGTTATATATACTTACCCCAGGGGACCAAATGACTGTTGTTGTCACAATCTGATAGTATATCACAAAATCACTGGTTGCCCGCGCAGTGAGACTCAAATTGCTGGTCTGTTGGTCGAGATGGACAGTTATCTCTCCAATAGTAACTGCTGAGTTGTAGCACATTCAACGGCAAAACACCTTTAAGTGTCTCATTTCTGAAAGTGCTGAGTGGTGAAGCTCAGCAGTGGGACCACCTGTTGTGGATCAGTGGTGGACTTGGGCAAATTACACCAACAGGATGATAAGAGGTCTTGACCGAAGTTCATCACGGTCGAAGGGACCAATCATTACCGAGCCGCGGGAGTGGATATATAGATTCCGTGAAGGTGGGGACCACATTAAACCTTCCGCATTGGAAGACGGTAAACTGAAACTGGAACATAAACCATGCATTCTACCATTGTGCTGCTGGGTGTCTTGTTCGGCTTGTTAACGCCGGCATACCTGCTTCCAGTTAAGGTCAGTGACTGAAAATATTATGGAAATTGGTTTATTTAGGTGCACTGTTCTCAGAATTATTCCACTTTTGTCTAACAGAATTCAACTGGAGTACATGAGGGCAAAGCAAGGTTGAAGAGGAAATACTCTGGTAGACTATCAATAGTTGTGTTTTTACCAGTACCACATTTTCATGACGTTGACTTTTGTTCTCCTGATGGCAACATGTAAAACTTTTTGTATTTCTCTGCCTTCCATGCTTAGATGAAATTTCAGACCGTGATGAAATGACCACAATGGATCAAATCCTGGACGTCAACAAAAGTAAGGAAACTGTGTATTACCATAGTTTGTATTGATCTAAGCTTGTGGAGGGAAACCTGATCTTTGTTAAAAGTTTATTTTCTCATCAGGACTGCGAGCTCCCAGAGGACTGTCAATAAGAGAAGGGGATATTGCCTATTCATATGTACGGAGTGCCATAAACTGTCCAGGGAATGCCTGTATGTGGCCTAAATCAATCGATGGATTTGTTTATGTTCCCTTCATCCTTTCTCCACTTTATGGTAGGACCTCTCACAATTAAAACGATGTTAAGATGATCTTTACAGCCCTACACCACAGTAATTTATTTTCAAACGCAGATGACATGGATAGAATCACCATAGAAACTGGGATGCAGGACATTTCTGCTGGAACGTGCATTAAATTTGTTCCCCGCACTCATGAGGCCAATTTCCTTGATATTCAGCCTAGATATGGGTGAGAATTATTCCAACTTCTTGCTTGCTAAGCTTTGATTTTGCATCTTGTTGACATATGTGGCATAATTTGCTCTCTTCTCCAAGCTGCTGGTCATTTCTTGGTCAGACTGGAGGAAGCCAGACCCTGTCACTGCAGACTCCGGGGTGCATGTGGTCAGGAATTGCTGCTCACGAGTTCATGCACGCGCTCGGCTTTGTGCACGAGCAGTCCCGCTCTGATCGAGACCACTACGTCTCAATCGTGTGGAAAAACATAATGCCAGGTAAGGATGATTGACAACCGCCTAGCATGATGTTCATTGCAATGATGACGCAAAGATCTAACTCACGTTCATACAAGATAAACTCGAGTTGCTCTCTCGGTTTTTGACAGACCACATTCACAACTTCAGAAAACAGGTGACAAACAACCTCAACAGTCCCTATGACTACAATTCTATCATGCATTATGGACGGTGAGCTGCATTCTAAGACATTATCATATTTTGCTCATGTTAAAGCTGGGGCGACACTATTTCATATATTCTATCAATCTTTTATGCAGATATGCCTTCTCTGAAGATGGTGGACCTACAATAATCCCCAAACCAGATCCTTATATTCCCATTGGCCAGCGCGACGGACCTAGTGCCCTGGATCTTCATAAAATAAATGTCTTATACGACTGTGGTAAGAGAACTTTCACTCAACCAGATAGAAGTTGAGTAATAATTATTAGTCATTCATATTTGATTTTTCTTCTGTTTCAAACTGTAGGCACCAATGAGTAACTGAATCCAAACAACTCTTCCCTCAGGTCCTCCCAGATGAGGAAAATAGTCCAGAAGATTTTATAGAGTAGACAAGTGCAAGAAAAATTATAGCTGATTGTCGATTCTGTAGAGATACTTCTATATTTATATGCAAGGCCTAAGCTTTTTTTCTTTTATTACTTAGTATGTGTCTGTTTTTACATTGTGTTAATTTACCTGTGAGAAAATCTATTAATTGCTACATTATCTGGCTAGTGAAAGCTTTGTTACTTTAATATGAATAAAAATACGCCTCTAAAGTGCTTGAGCTTTTTTAGATGGTCACATCCAAACTCTGAAAAGAGTCTCTGCTATTACTTTGCAATATTCTGCTTCTGTAATGCTTTTTGCGAGGTTCAAATAAACAAAAATGCATCATTAAACCTTGTGGTCTGTTTTGATTTTGGGGAAAACGTGAAAAAACGCACATTTGGATTTGTGAAAGCCATATTTCGCTATTTTCCCCACCAGTTTGGGTCAATTTCTGTTGTTTTTTTCACGTCGAATGGGTAAATTCGTGTCTTGAACTTTGCGCGGTCATTGTTGAATGAACGTATTTACATGGAGCGGTAGGGCGGTTTCTCCACAGTCCTGTTGACGCGTTGAAGGCGGAGCCATTATTCCCTCGCGCTAACACAACTGTAATTAGCTTAGCTAGTTAGCGCTGAGGTAAATTATCAGTGAAATAGAGTAATCTCTGTCATTAAACATGAGTGATAACGACAAAGGCCGGGTACGTATGAATTTTGCAACCTTCTAAAAATATTGCTAGTTCTTGCAGCCGGTAAAATCATTAGGCTATGTCGCTAAATTGTGATATTAACGGGCTTTTGAGTGTGCTTGCTAAGGGTGGTTTTACAATGATGCAAACGTAGATCTTCGGCAAAAATGTATAATTATATTTTTTAACGGGTCGAAATGAAATTATTTCGGGTCTATTGAAATTGCATAAACGCACATGAAAAACACTTGTTTAATTTTTTTTAGCTAGCTAACGCTAGCTTATCGGCGGTAGCTAGGCCACGCGCTGCTAGCACTGTTGGGTCGGCGAAAACGTAACACAAAAACAACCAACATCAGCGTGAAAACATAAAACAGCTGTACTTGTTTTCGTTAAATGAATTGACTGAAGGTTACCTTTTGCTATTTTGGCAAATGTGGCGGTTTTTATATTTATACGCAGGTTTGTTTTTCTCTTGTTATTTTTCAATATTGCTAATCTTGTCGTGTGTCGAAATCGAAAGGAATGAACTAGAACATCGTTTTATGTTCATAAACTGAGTAATAAGCAAACGTTTAAAACGTTTTCCCTTCAGTTACATGCAATTAGTGCCCGTACATGATGTCCCGTGAATTATATTTGCTAGTTAGATAGGCTGAATATTACTTACGTAATTTTTAATTTTTATCGATCAACACGTCAGTAAAGCGACGCCATAGAGTAAAGTTATTTATCAGCTTGAACTGGACGACCTCAAGTTAGCACCTCATTCACTTGTATTAACTCCTTCAAAAAACGTACCGGTGCCCCAGTCCGTGGACTGACCACGACTTCTGTTCATGGGATACTTGTCCATCCACTTGCAGACCACACCTTTAGAGTCCCTTGAAAGCCCAAAATTCTTGAAAGTGTTAGTGGTCAGTGTTACCGGGTCAGAGGACATTGAAGGCAGCTGACGGTCAAGTGGCATGACAACACAGCCTTTTACTCACAAGCCTCCGAAAATATAATTAGTTCTTGTGATCCCTCGGACAGGAAAGCAAATAATGGTCTTTTTAGTGTATGCTAATTTACAATGCAAGCCATCATGTTCGATATTTCCATCTACATGTTAAATGATTTTACGTGCTGGTGAAAGAGGTTAGTACAACTGAGTGGAAACTGCCTCTTGAGGTCGTTTGGTAATTTTTTTAGTCGGCATTTGTTTAATTTGGTGTAAAAGAAAGCACTGGGTGGGATTTAATCATGAGTATGACTAATTCACATTCAGTGGTTTTATATATACTGATGAACATATGTTAGCTTGGCTTAAATTTAGTTAATATGCTTTTGAAAATGGAAAATGATATTTTTTGCAAAGGAAATAAAGGGTGGAAATGAAAGGATATCATGGCTTATAGTAGTTCAGGGCAGATTCTGAATATATATATATATATACCCGTACAGTATGCAAAAATTTCCTCTATTTCTAATGGAGACAGCTTTGGGTGTATAAGACGCAACCAGAGTTGATCCCATGCTCACCTTTCAATCTGAGCAGTATCTTTTAAAATGATTTGACTTTCGTTTGTTTTTGAGCATTCATCTTGTTTGGCTCCTAACAAGAAATTCATACTAGATAGTAACGGTGAATATAGAGCCACTGAAGGTGAAATTCCCTATCATGTCAAAAGATCTTGATAATTCATTCAAAGTTGAAAGAGAGTGCCCTTTTAATGGTAGTCATATATTCTTCATCCTTTTCTTTTTCATTAAGGTTAAGGTTGGACGAAGAAAATGCAGAAGAAGTCTCATGTCCACTTTATTTTCAATAATATGAAGCTCACGTGTGTGAAGCTGAATTGTTGAATGCATGCTAAAACATGACGAGGGAAGAAGTATGGGCAGTGTGTGAGAAGGGGGAAGTAAGAAGATGTAAGACAATTGAAGAAAGAAGAATAATGTCAAGTAATGAAGTTACTGAAATGAAGTTAAGGAAGTAATCTGGATGAGGTCACTGCGCTAAGTAATTTTCTGGTCTGTTTGTCAAATGCGTGCATGTTCTTGTTATTGAATACAACACACAATTTAAGTCATTGCAATATTATTTCACAACTGACATTTGTGTTTTCTCACCATGATGGCTTTTTAAATTATATTAATGTTAGTAATCTTATTTATGTCATACTTTCCATGACTATACAGAATAGCATTAACCTGCATTCCGTGTGCTTAATTCTGAGTCTTTCTTTTTCTTTACTCTTTAGAGGATAGTATTAATTTTGACATATATATTTATTTTGTCAAATGTCTTTGTGTATCACCTCATTGGTGCTGACATTATGTGTTGGTGTGTGTGGTTCTTCAGGAGTCTCGCTCCGCGTCCCGGAGCGTGAGTCCACGGCAGTCTGAAAAGTCGGCAAGCTTCTCCCCAGCTCATTCAAAAAATGGCTCCCACCAGTCCCACCGCTCTCGCTCTAAATCTTGGTCTCAATCCAGGTCAAAATCTGGGTAAGTCACACGACTTCTGGAGCTGCAGCGGAATTAAAAATGTTCCTGCTGAATGTGAACATGCCGTGGTGTGTAATGAATTTTCAAAGATCCGGATGCAAATTCCCAAAAATCCACATGGGATGCTGAACTCTGTTTCCCCTTCCACAGCTCCCGTTCCCACCGTGGCTCACGCAGACACTACAGCCAGTCTCGCTCCCACTCAAGGTCCTCCCATCACCGGTCCCACAGCAGGTCCTACAGTGGAGAGCGCCGGCGTAGAAGCCATAGCCACTCCCCCATGTCCAACCGCCGCCGGCACATCGGCAACCGTGTACGTCCTTCTTCATCCGTGTTTTAACATTTTTCTAGATGTTTAAAAAATTGTATGCAAATCTTAAAAATCTTTTGAACTGCAGGCCAATCCAGACCCAAACGCCTGCCTTGGAGTGTTTGGCCTGAGCCTGTACACAACAGAGAGGGACCTGAGGGATGTCTTTTCTAAATATGGCCCCCTGGCTGATGTCAGTATTGTGTACGATCAACAGTCAAGGCGCTCCAGGGGCTTTGCCTTTGTTTACTTCGAGAACACAAATGATGCTAAAGAGGTAAAACAGTATGCCCATCTTTTAGTTAAAAAACCTTCCCTGGGTTACACATGCACTCAGAATGTCTTTTGTTAGGCAAAGGAGCGAGCGAATGGTATGGAGTTGGATGGCCGGAGAATCAGGGTGGACTTCTCCATTACAAAGAGACCTCACACCCCAACACCTGGAATTTACATGGGAAGGCCCACATAGTAAGTCATCAGAATCTTGAGTTTTGGGTGGATTGAGTGGGTGTCTTGAAATCGACGATATGATCTGAAGAGCTATGGTTGTCTTTTTTTTCCTTACATGACCTTCAACAAAATGCATAACATTAAAGTTCTCACTGTGGAAAACATCTGTATAGTAGTTTCATATATTGGTCTTCTCTTTTGTGTAGTGGTGGAGGTGGTCCCAGTGGTCCTCGCCGCCACTCACGCGAGTCACGTGACTCGCGTGACTATGATCGTGGATATGACCGCGGTTATGACCGTGGGTATGACAGAGGTGGCTACGAGCGCTATGACGACCGGGAGTACTACAGATCCTACAGGTGACGCTCCCAGTTTGCTTGCTCTTCCTGGGAAGCTTATTCTATGCTTGTGCTATTTGTATTTCTGATTCAGTTCAAAGATACTTTATTTATCCCAGAGGGATATTAGAATTAAATTAATTAGAAATGAAAATTTCCGTTCGCCGTCACCGAAAAACTGAAAAATGTTTGTTTTGTTTCAGACGGAGATCTCCGTCACCGTACTACAGAGGAGCAGCATACAGGTCTCGGTCAAGGTCCCGTTCCTATTCTCCCCGTAAGAGCATCCCCTGAAAAAAACCAGCTGTCCTCAAGCATTTGCCAGTTACTAATTAGTTTTAATTATTCTAATGAATGTCTTTTTTTTCACAGGTCGCTATTGATCGTGTCTAGACGGCAAAAGTCTCCTCTTCCGAAGAACAGACAGAAAGTGCTTATGAGTGATATGATTTACTTATCGGTTCTTTTTCTGTAAGTGATAGTTAGGTTTCCTAAATTGGAGTTGTATGAGAACTTTTTTGTAGGATTGCTTTATGGCAGCATACCTGTGATTAATTGTAGTTAGTTGTTACTCTTCTGTTCTTTCCTTTTTAAAGAAAGAGCCTATTTCACCCCCAAAAAAAGGCATCTGCATGGAGCCACACAGAGGACTTTGTGCCACTTATTGTGTCGGTATTGTAGAATCATCTATGTGACGACAGTGTCATTGGTCATAGCCTCCATTCTGCAACAGCACACTAATGTAAAGGGCCCATTATCCAAAATTTAAAAATGGCTAAAAAAAACAAGTAGTTTAATCTTGCAGAATGTTTGAGCTGCTAATCTGCCTCATATGTTTTAGTTTTTTTGTGTTTACTCATATAAATTCATATCTAAAAGAAAAAAACAAACCCTGAAGTTAAAAACGCGTACCTTTAGGCCAGGTTTGACCTCAGTCTCCCTCATATGGGCAGCATCAGTTCTCCTTATTGTGTGTTGACAGCCTCATACAGCCTCCCTTTTAAGAAACCAAAACATCCCTTTGAGCTGATCACAAAGGCTCAGTTCACTCATAAACATGATCAGTAAAAGTAGACTGGTATAAGTTGTAGGGTAGTCCCCTTGTCATTTTTAAATTATAAATGTACAGGAAAATATATCTGTTCAACATCTTATATTACGTTGTGCTTTTTGTCGTGTGCAAAGGACATCCTCAGCAGATTAAAAGGGAGTTCCTTTTTTCAACTTTGACTAGCGTCTTTCCTTGCATCCCCTGACAGCTTGCATGCATTAAAAACAAGGACATATTGCAGCCCTTTAAGAAAGTTCTGTGGTATAACTACTGTGCAACTTTACTTTTCTCAGCTCAACAATCAACACTGCCGAGTGTATTTTCAGAAAGAGCCTCCTGGGAGCCCTTAAACTGTCAAATTAAATCAAGACAATAGCAAAGCAAGCTGAAATACAGACTGTTATGTGCTGACTAAATATATTCAGGCTCCTTGTTAACCTTTTTGTTAAGGACTATGATTGGATCTTGGAATGCAGCAAAACCCTCACAGAGAAAGTGAACCAACGTAATATGAATGAATTCATCTTGTGAACAGTAAAAAGTGGAATTAGTTTGGAAATGTGTGCCTCTAACCTTGTGTCAGCGCTCACTATGGGCCCTTGAATTTTCCGACTAAGTTATGAAAACATCGATGGCTAAATGGGTTTGAATTGTGTATGTGCTGTTTGAATAAAGTGGGCCAAATATGTAGCCTGAGCTGCATTAGCTGCAGATGACCGCAGACAAACATCTACCCCTGCTGGCCACAGAGGAGCCCTGAGAGAGGCGCAGCACTCTAAGACGTGGAACCTTCCCACAAAGTGTTAGTTTCCCATTTATTTCTTTATTAATTTAAAAACATTCTCCAGTAATATGGAGCCGCAAGGGCAATTTCTCCTCAATTTGTCTGGACTAATTCTGATTCAATTTACAGATAATCGAGGGGAAAATTTGCTGGTAGTGGTGTGTTATTGTTTTTATAACATTTTTTTTAGGATGACGTTGTATTGAAATCATTATAGTATCTAGAAAAAAATATTCAAAACACCAAATCATTAAAGGTTCATTTGAGTGTTTACTTGCCACTTTAGAGTACTACATAAAAAGGAAATGGCAAAGAAACTTGTGATGATGCCTGTATGCTAAATATGTCAAACAAACTTTTACCGTTTACTTGATCTACTTTTTATTAGTTGATTTATTAATTGGCATCAACTTCCTGTGTTTATGTTATGGACACTCATGGCTTTGGGAGGGAGCCCTTCATATTTTCATTGATGGGTTAATTGAAGGTTGAGATAAAGGGGCTGTAGTTAAAACAATATCCATTATTGATCAAATGCTGTGAGCAGTGCAGGGAAAGTTAACGGATGACAGGGTTGTCTATCAAAATCCTCAGTTTAAGGCCGTGTTAATCTAATAAAGACTCTTGAGTGGAGTGTCCTCTGGCAGAGCTGAAAACAGGGGAGTCCAGTGAAGACACTTCCTGCTCGTCACTCGGCTGACCACACCTTGGAAACTGCCTTTTTTTATTTCCATGTTCCACCACAAGTCTACATGTATGCGCGTGTCTTTTTTATTCGCATACCAGTTCTCCCCACGTTCCTTAAATGCCACATCCCTTCCACTCCTTTTTAGAGTGGAACTCTGTTTTTCATTGTTTTTTGGGGGGGTGTATTATTTTTCAGCACACTGACCCACTTGTGCATGACACACAGAAGGTCTAGCAAAAATGTGGGCATCTCACTTTAAATTCAGAAGGCCTCATCTTTTTCCCAATCTGTGTATTTGCACGTTCCCCTGTGTGATGCGTTTTTAAAATGAATGTGTAACTATTTACAGCAGCTGACAGCTTGCTGCTTGTTTGACTGATGATTGTCAGTTAGCTGCAGAAAAATGGGGGCCACAACTGTGCGTGCAATGACATCAAGAAAGTAACTGAAAGGGCTGTTTGGTCAACAGGCCGCAGTTGGAGCATTCCTCTGTTCGCACACTGACGTAAACAAGGCGAGAAGCAGCGGTCCCTCCTGCGTCTGGCCCCGGCCTCCTGCACCACAGAAGGGTGGCAGTAAAGCTCCGGAGCTGCGCACGGTCACATGCACAAATGCTCAATTGCTGTTGGCAAAAAGGCTCCACCCCCTTAGTAACGAGTGGAGGTACAAGACTGCACATCCGTGCCTGAACGCAGCAGCCGCAGCCATGTGCTGACACCTCTGCTTTTGTCTGAGATCCGCCATAGCCCGGCCTCCCTCCCAAACACACCTATCTGCGCCCATCCAACCGATGGCACACAAAATAGATAAGACACACACACACACACCACACACACACACAGAGGGGGTGGTGGTTAGGGTTACCTCCTCCTAACACTAGTAAGGAGCAGGAATCCCCTCACTTCTTATCAGCTGCTAAAAATAAATAATGGCTCTGGGTCATATTTTGGACTTGGGGAAATGAAAGGTGTCAGAAGGTTTAGCAGCAAAGCAAAGTGGTGTTTCTCAAAAAAAAAAAAAACACTCGGCAATGGATGGTTCATCTTAACAGTTATTTGTGCAAGGACAAGTTGTGCCAGAATGGCTGTGTTGGTTTCACTTTCTGTACGCCAATGATCCTTAACTCAATTTTTTTTTTTCAAACTGCATTTTATCTTTCGCTTTTTGTTTCTACTTGAGACTGATTTCCTCGGAAATTGCAGGTAAACGGGGGGTGTGCATACGTCAAACAGGTGTTCACTGCAGCGCACGGGGGCCCCTCTGCCCAGCTCCTCTCCACAAATCCATATTCCTGCGTCGCTCATAAATAAATAAAGGGCCATCCGGGGGGGTAGGGGTGGTGGGGGGGGGGGGGGGGGGAGCTGAGTGATAGCGTTCGAGTCGAGTACAGTGACAACGACTTGATTTTCTTTTTCTTTTTTTCCACCCAGCAGCAGCAGCCCTCCTTCACCTCGCCGCTCCCAGCCTGGAGGGACCCGCGAAGGCACGGCCCTTATTATGATTTGATGAAATAAGCCCTCTGCCTCCTTTAAGCCCAGCCCTTCGCGGAACGCACCCAGAGCCCATCATGCCACTTTCAGACCCTGCTGCACTTTCCGCGCCGGACGAGCTGCTCTGAGCCCCCACATGCACCTCCAAACATTTTTTCTGGTGATTTTTAAGGGAGATTTTATTTAGAGGCGGCGCTTGTTGGTTCCGGAGTAGCGTCGTAACGACACTTTTTTTCCTCCCCCCAGTCCCTGTTGAAAGAGTTTGACCAGGGCCAGAGTTGGTGCTGGGGGGTTCGCTCATATAGCTTAGTAATAACCTGGGCTGATTGCTGCGGTTTTTTTTTTTTTTTAAATCTCATTATTTTTTCTATTTTATTTTTTATTTTATTTTTTGTTATTTTTTTCCCACTACTCTGAATATCGCCAGTGTCTCACTCTAAGATCTGACAGCCTTTCGAGATTTTTCCTTTCAGACCATGAACAAACTATATGTTGGGAATTTAAGTCCGTCGGTCACTGTCGAGGACTTGAAGCAGCTCTTTGGGGAGAGGAAGCTGCCAGTGACCGAGGAGGTCCTGCTCAAATCCGGCTATGCTTTTGTGGACTTCCCTGATCAGAACTCGGCCATAAAGGCTATAGAGACTCTTTCTGGTAAGTGTGTGGATTTGATAAGTGATGCTGCTGCTGTCGGGAAAATATCTTTTTTTTTTTTGTTGTTCCCAGCGAGTCGCACTGAAGGAACACAGCGTGTCCGAAACGTGAAATATTAGTTATTGCTTGTGTTTTTGCTCCTGACAGTGTTTGCAATCGTGTGCCATCAGAGTGGAGGTGAACGCTCACAGTCATGCACGCTCCAACATAAATTGGATAAATGATCGATCGCAGGACCCACTCGGGGATTTAGTGCCCGTTTTTGCTTGAAGAAAACACGAGCCGTCGTAACGCAATTAACGCGCACAATAACCTTTATTTTGGAGATTCCGATGGTGCGGGGCGCTACTTTGCAATCACCCGCAGGAATGTATGGGATGGTCTGATGGTTCGGGTAGGCATAATTATTTTTCACTTATTTTTTATCTTGATTTTATTGAAGAGAGCAGAGCGACGCGAGCGCGGAAAACTTGTCAGATCCGTGTTCCTCTGATGTCTGGCTATGTTTTTACGAGGTGTCTTGGAGGTGGGTCACGGGGGTCCGGAGGAAAAAGCTCATAAACAGGTAGCTGAGGGGGACGAGGTGAGACGCTAATTCCGTGCTGCGCCAGGCCACTCATAATAGTAACCAAAAGCCGTGTTCGGGCTCTCGCGGAGCAGCGCTTCCCATTCTCCGTCCCGCTGGGTCAACAGCGACAAATAACAGGCGACCAAGCCACCACAGAAGGAGTACAAGTCATTCTCCTTTCAAACCATCTCCTCTTTGATGTTGCATTCTTTACTGAGAGCTGAAAAATATCCCTCATCGCACTGTGAGAGGGTTTTGTGGGAGTGGAAAGCATGGCTGCCCATTTCTCCCCCCCACCACCCCCCCCCCCCCACACTATATAAGCTCACCATGCTTCATTTTGGCGCCGATAACCTCAATTGTCACCCGCAAAATGTGACAGTGTGGTTAGATTAATGTAAACATGTGCACTTTGTCCACCGGCGTGCGCGCGACGCGCCCGTGCAGAATACTTTTTTTTTTTTTTAGGGGTTGCCTGTTTGAATGGGGACGCACCTACTTGGTGAAGTGATTCAAAGTGTTGGTGTGTCGGCCTGCCCGCGTGCATTGTTGCTGTTATGACACACAGCTAACGTTACACTATCAATTTTCGCCCCTACAGGTAAAGTTGAATTACACGGAAAGGTGATAGAGGTAGACTACTCTGTTCCCAAAAAACTAAGGTAGGCCCACGACCTGACACACACACACACACACTCTCACACACACACACACACACGTTCACTCACACATTTATCACACGCCTATACTGTGCTGTGCCCCATGGCAGACTGTGTGACCTGTATGCTTCCGCTGAGAAATCTAGCAACCACATTTCCCTCGTTTTCTCGTGAACGTGGGGCGATTTGTGCCACGCCGCCGCAGTGTTGTTGCTTGTGGCGAAAGTTGAAATTGTGTGGTGGTCAAACAAAAGGGGGGGAAAGCGACAAAGGAGCAGTTTTAGTCCCAACATCCGTAAAACACACGGTGGCTCCTGCCATATCGCGTGATCTGCAGCGAGGCCTATCCCACTGTGGGGACACACTAACGCAAGATTCAAACACGTAGCAGCTGTTTCTTAATTGAAATTGTCAAATAAGTTCCAATCATACTTTCAAACGTACTAATATGCATTTCTGCGATCATATTTTCTATTAACCTCTCCCCCCACAATGGCGTCTTTTCCTATAGCTACGTAGGCGAGAACGCTCACAGTAAAAACTGTTGCACTGGATTGTTCGGCGACTTGCATGCCAATCACTAGTGCTTCTCAAATTACCATAAGAACTACGTGAAATGTGTGTGTGTGTGTATGTATGTATATGAAAGGCGAATTTTCTGGGCGAAGATAACAAATATAGAGGTCAGCCTTTAAGTCCCCAGCCAAAACGGCTCGTTATTTTACCATCTTGTCTTCGTAATTGACAAAGTCGAGAATTACACAATGTTACGAGTGTTTTTTCTTAAAAATAATTTTTTTTTTCCTTTCGTAATAATAAAGCATGCGCATTAGATAGATGACGCAGCACTCTAGCCACATACGTGTATTTTATTCGTAAATTAGACATTATCCTATAAGGAAAGCATACGTCGCGTGACAAAAAGGTAAATATTCAGTCCCCTGTGGAAGAACACGTGACCCTTACTTTATGTGCTCCCAGCATAGTCCTCCCCCTCTGGTGCAGGCTACACTTTCCTGCATCACAGCCCCTCATTTTTTTTTTTTTTTTTTTTTTTCGCCGTGCAACCCAGCAGAGACTTATTATATATGTTTAAAATCCGCAGTGATCGAGCTGTGATGTTGTTTCCTTGTTTTAAGGTTTCAACATGAAGGACTTTTTGTGAGCTGCAAGGCGCAACATGGTGTTAAAGCCTGCGCCACTCCCCTCCGTTAATGTGCACGTAGGCCATGGAAATGCTGGAGAGCCTCATAATGGCTGCCATGATGGCCCTGCACACAGCACGGCTATAGGCGGGATGAAGATAGAGCGGACGTCCATACAGTACATGTGACCGCCCGCATGTGTCCAATCGGCAGTGTGTGCAGCTGCTGGACCTGAGTGCGAGTCCTGGAAAAAAAAAAGGGCCTTAAAGCGAAATCTTCGCCATATTTGCGAGCTCCACGAGAGAGTAGCGTACGATGCGTACAGGTGACCACATTGAAACAAAGAGCTGCCGTGAAGTGGAGGATTGGAGGCCATAACATTTGTTTAGTTCCTGTTAAGAAGAGTAATTTCAATCTGAATCTTCCTAAAAGCTTTCCTGCGTTTGTTTCAGGCTTTTATGGCAGACACGTTTACGTTGATTTAATCTTTTAAGACTCTAATCCATTACTTGATCCTGTACTTCCAAGACTTATTAGAATAATTTATGGATGTTTAACTGGCGCTAATCTTGTAAACATATCATTTGAATTTCTTATCAAGACACATTGAGGAACACGTGATATATTTAATAATCCAGCTTCAGATTCTCTCTTGATATTTTTCTATTATTTATGTTTATTTGAGAAATCTTGTAATTAAATAATAACATTACAATTATTTCGATTTTTAACATATTGTTATTGTATGGAAAGTAGTGTCAGGCAAGGCGTGAAGACTCAGCAAATTTAGTTAGATAATTTAGGAAGTGGTGGGAGCTTTCTGTGTCGTCATCAGGCCTGTTAAGCTGTTGTAGTTTCTGCTGCCCTTTGCTGTGATTTAAAGAAAATACATGTAATTTTAGTGTGGAATGCCTTTCGTGTGCACATTAGCATATTTGCATTAACAATTAAATTGTGTCTGTTTTTTTGAAAATGTGTGCTGCTTATGATGCTGTATTTATGGTTATGCTTTGCTGGCTAGTTAGTTTTTTATTCAAGGGCACTGGGCCTTTTTATTTAAAAGTGGCTGAGTTGATTGTGTAATTTATACTTTAAGAGCAGTTTCTACACAACACATTTAATGGATTAAACTTCAGATTGTTTCAGAGGAATTATCGTGTTTTTATGATACAAATACATTGGTATTTGTAAACAATAAAAAACTTTTAGATCCCTTCTTTGATAAAATACTGCATGATTACTTACTTATCATTAACCACAAATTTTCTATAAAAATGAAAAGGGTGTTTTTATTATTTAAAGACTTTTCTATAAATGTAGATTACAAAATACAAAAGATAAAACAAATATAGTTATTTCTAAATGTTAAAATGCTGCATCTATATTTTAGCGAGCTATTAGTCAGATTAAAATTATATTTCTTTCAGATTTTATGTTATTTTATAATGTAAGGTTGATACATAATTATGGTTTGAAATACAGAGTTGTGTCAACAACCGGTGCAACTGAATTTATAAAAAATTCTGAAAATGAATATATCTATGCAAGTTTTATTTGAAATCTGGCAAAAAAAGGATTTGTAATACATGTATTTAGTCATGTTTAGATTGGAGGCTTGAAAATGAGTGTCCTCCGAGAGGAGCGTGCGTTTCTTAAACTGTAGAGCCTTTCTTAGACTTTTGCTGTTGTGCTTTTCTGATAATGGCTCATTATTGCATAATACATCAGAGCAAATGACTTTCTGTGCCAGTGATTCAATGGAGTTTATCACACAAGGAAGCAGAGTGTGACATGCTGATAATTGATATGGGTGCTTCATGAATGAACCCTTAGCTTCTCTTGACTATCCAGAACTTGGACAAATAGACAAATCTCTCTCGCTGTGAGCCTGATCAATAGCCTGTTAACAGTATTTAGCAAGACCGCGTTGATGTTGGGGATAAACACAATTAATGCTGCCAGCCTGAAAACCGTAAGAGTTTGTTTTCTTGCTTAACAGCTGATAGTGATAAAACCAGAGTTTTTCTCCTCCTCATTATCCCTCCCACTTAACATGAAAGGAAAGCACAATTAAATGAAAAAGTTCTAAACTTGATATTTAGTGCTTCTCTTGAGCTACACGCCACTCGGCCTGTAGGAGAACGCACACCGCTGTTCAACGCCCGTCTATTAAACGCTGTGTTGGAAATGAACTTGTATGTATTTCAAGAAACAAAACACAATCCTGTCATTTCCTTTTTGAACAAATGGATACAAACCAGGACGGGGGGTGCAAACATCTGCATTGCACCACAGTGTTGCCCATGCAGATGTGTGTGTTGGCTTGTTAGTGCGCGGCGAGTCAAAACAGCGAAACGCGATAGCCATCAGTTGATCCACTTTGAATCCATTAATGCTCCCCAGTTGATCCTGGTTGAAGGGGAAGCTCTCCTGTTCGGGCTCCGGTTTGGTCCGGAGTGACAGCGGGAGCCACGTCCACTGTGCCCTCCCCACGCCTCCCCTCACCTGTCTGTGAGGAGGAATCCCACCCAGTAGGGACCTGCTGTAACATATGTCATCGAGCGCTTTTTCACGTCTTTGTTTATCTATTTTTTCAGGACTCCAACTTTCATGAGTCATTAGGGGTGAGAAAGAAAGTATGCTAAACGTTGCATACAGATATATGTTTCCAGAGGCTTTGTTTTGGAACCGTAAAGGCAAATAAAACTGCCGTCTGTTAAAATTTAGACAACAAAAACATCAGTGTG